ACATATATATATATATTAAAGTTAGTGTTAGGAGCTCTGATATTCGGCATTTGGCTATGGAGTCATTGACTGGTATCTCGCAAAATTCCTCATTTGGTTGCAGGAACTTGGCGATCTGTGTAGGATACCTTGGTACAGACCTGACATTGGGAAGAACTACACAATAGAGCAAACTTATTGATATCTGATCACAGTGTTTTATCATAACAGTTGCCATGAATTTAAAAGTAACCACGCTAAAAAGTAATAAGCATGCTTCAAATTAAAAAAAGTTTCATTTCTTATTCTCTTTTCTCCTCTCAAAATTCAAATTTACCGTGTTTGATTATCACAATAGAAAATTATTAATCTCGGATAAAATTAGAAAGGTGAAATGAGATTATATGACAAATTTTATCATGCATCAAACATGAATGAGCCCAAAAAAAAAAAAAGGGAAAATTACATACGCAGCACACAATTCTTATGGATTTAAATATTTCACACATAAAGTTTCATTTTTACCCACATAGCACTTTACCTATGAAAGAAAAGATGAATTTGACTATTAAAGATGATAAAGAGTGTTATTTTTCATATAATGCTTGTAAATATGAAAGTTTGGTGTGAGGTAGGGTAAATCCATAAGGATTGGGTACTATATACGTAAATATCCCAAAAAAAAACATAGCGAAAAAAATAAATAATAGTCAAGATTCACATATAAGCTGTAAAATAAAAGAAGCATAGGCCTGGAACAAGATTATTTTTTAACATAGTAAAATACCTCAAAAAATAAAGACCACAGAAGCTGATCTTATTCCTACCTTCTTATCAAAATGTTGCACAGCAGAACAACACGTTCGTTAGGCAAAACTGCTGCAATCATGTCAACAACAGCAGTAGAGATGCTTTTTTTCCTTTGTTCTAAAGAGTCTCCACTTCCATTAATTACTCGACCAGTAAGGCTAGGCTTGTACTCTTTACACTCTAAGATAGACTTGATTAAAACCATGCAATGAATCAGAAACTCATCAAAAGATGGTACTGTTTGTCCGGGATTGATTATCTTATTCAAGCAGAAATCCAAAATAGCAGGAAGAACATTGTTATCACCAAATGAGTATGGATGTCTGCTCTGAAGTGCAGCCAGAACCTTCATCAATTTAACGCAAGATCTCTTTATGAAGTCCAAAAGCTCTGGTTGTCCTATGAATGAAATGCCTGATTATGGCAGGCCAAATATTTCAATGGCAAATCAGATTTTTTAAAAAATCATTAAATTCATATTACAGAAAATATGATTGATTTCTCCTTAAAAAAAAGAAGCAATTTCCTAAAGTGTTGCTTAGCATATGATCCATTAACAAGTTCAAATAAAGGCATAAGTCCAAAAGCTCAGGTTGTGCTATGAATTAAATGCCTGATTATGGCAAGCCAAATATTTCAAAGGCAAATCAGATTTTAAGAAAAATCATTAAATTCATATTACAGAAAAAATCATTGATTTCTCCTTAAAATAAAAAAGAAGCAACTTCCTAAAGTGTTGCTTAGAATATGATCCATTAATAAGTTCAAATAAAGGCACAAGTCCCAACTATAGCAACATAACAATACGCCAGCATGATACCAGAGCATAATGCTTTCTCATTTAGCAAATGTTATATCAGTCTTCTCTGAGCTTCATAGTAAACAGCTTAAAACAAAAAAACTTCATCAAAATACAGAACAAGCAAAAAAGCTGTAATAGCAGGTACTGCTGCAATGCTTTTGTGGCCGTAATATCCTGCCCACTCTTCTGTTGTTGTCAGGGTAGATGTGATTCACTTATCAGCACCTTCATCATCAAGAGCTTTGTCACAATTGTCAAGGTTACGCTTAATGTTACCATTATTTTGGCCTGTTGAAGATCTTTTGGCAATTATCCTAGTTTAGTCAAGCCAAGAAAAAAATTTTAACTTAGTTTAAGCCTACGATTATCTTATAGTACATTTAATATGATGTTGATCTACCGAATCTGCTCTCAAGGGAAAATGACCAGCATGATTGAAAATATCAACCTCTAATTCCTAAAATCATTTGGATGTTAACAATCTCATTTACTAAGCCTAATCAAATAGTTTAATTAAAGGTTACATTAAGTAAGCTATACTTCAATTTTGCTCCACTATATGCTCAGCGTTTCAATAACACAATGGCTGTCCTGTAATAGCTGACAATTCTACCAAGGACAGTCAATCTAACAAAGGAAATTTGCTTTTTGTCCACTAATAAAAATTATATGAATTTCATAATACACTTTAAATAAGCGTAAATAAGGTGATACTACTGCATTTTTTTATTTATATGGAGAGCTAAATCCTAAGGAAGTAAACAACTCGGATACAAAAAAAAGATAGAAGAATGAGAGTTTGTTCAAATTAATTGTGTTGTAAGAAACAAGACCTTACTTAAAAATGTAACTCGAGGAACATATGTAAATACTAATTCAAAAATTAATACATGAGAGTTTTAACGAGAAAAATTATGAAGAATAAGAGAATGATTAGAATAATGAAATATGTTGTAAATTTATCCCCAAAAAAGTATAAATCAAATTAGATTTGAAAGGTAAAGTTTGAATGAGATGCCTTTAGCAACGAGAAGTCATAGGAGATATTAGTGAAATAGTGTTAAATATATAGATATTAGACCAAGTGTTAAAAATATATTTTCAAAAAATTAAAAAAAAAAGTCTACAAAGATGCCAAATGAATGAAGGAGAGGAACCAATTCGGTGTTAGTATGTAAAAACAAAAGAGAAGTCTATTATTGTGACAATTAGAGAGAATTTAAATTCACAAAACATTGGATGAAGCTATGAACACGGGTGATGTTAGAAAAAGGTTATAAAAGAGAAGAAAAGATAGTGTGGCAACCTTTATTGATGAAAAATATGACCCCAAACAAAAACTCAAACAAAAAATTAAGAGAATATGAATGATAAAACATTTTTTTAGTTTAAAAGACTACTAAAACAATATGTAGAATCCCTAGAAATCAACACTCAATTATCCCCAACATGACAACCTTACAAACAATCATTACCAGGCCCAGGAACTTAGAATTAACTAAAGTGGAAACAAACGGCTAGACAACAACAAAAAGCCTTTATCCCGCTAAGTGGGGTAGGCTACATGAATTTGTTTTCTCTATTGTATCCTATTGAGTGTCATATTTTCATTTAAAGTGATCAAACCACCTAAGGCACCTTTCTCTAATCTTATCTGCTGCTTGAGTTGCACCAACCATATCACGGATATAATCATTTCACAGTCTTTTTAACGTTTCGTTATCGGGAAGGAGGAACCGAAAAGACAAAAAGGTTGGAAAAGAAGTGAGAAGTCGGGTATTCAAAAGAGGGAGAGGAAACGAACAGCTGAAGAAGAGGAAGTCAGCAGTCGAGACATCAAACAAAGATAAGAGAGGAGACGAAAGCCAAGTAAGTATATTCACTTTATATATCACGCGACGGAATGAGTTTTACCTACCTGCAGAGACGAGAGAAATGGTGTCACATTCTCGAGCAAGAGGAAGCATCATCGAGCAGAGGAGAAGCGAGAGGTCTCGACATCAGTGTCGAGCGGCAGAAGAGGTGGCATCGGTGTCGTGCAAAGGAGGCAGCGAGTGCAGAAGTTCCTATGCACTCGATCCTGATGAAAGAACCAACGAAGGAGTTAAGGAGCAAGGCGATGATGTGAGGAAGCAAATTCCGAAACCGCGCATGAGGAAGGCAGAAGGATCGCGCGCATGATTTTAGAGTAGAAAGAGGTATGTTTTAATAAAGTTAATAGTTACATAATTAATTGTAATAAAAAAAATAATAATAGATATATATATATATATATATATAGGGATTAGATTTACTAATTAAAAGTTAACAGTTATTTAAAAATAAATAAATATCATGTTTATGTAGGTTTTCAATTTTAGAAGAATCGACAATAAAAAAAATTCAAGCACAAATTAATTGACAATGAGGTGAATACTCGTACTTTAATCTATAGTAAAACATTTGTTTCTTCTCAAATATTTTGCGGTTGATGAAAGTTGTGTCTTTTATTCTAATTGAGATACTCTTTAATTTATTGGTCATATCGTTAAGAATGTTGTAGCTTCTTACTCTCATGTTTTGGTAAATGTTTTATATAGTATGTTGAATTGAATGATATGAATACATGAATGATATTTTTATGTGGAGTGTTTGTATGTGCATGACTGATTATGATGGAGTCATGTCTTGATGGTATTGGTGGGGAACACTAAGATACTCATACACGTATAGAGAAATAGATATTGATATTGATGTGGTTTAATTGGCACAATTTTTAAACGGTCAAATCTTATGAGTTGTATAAATATGAAAGATATTGATATGCTATCAGTATAGTAAAATTCTTTTAATAGCATCAAATATTTATTAAAATATGTAAATGGCATGCAGACTATTTATTCTTCCTTGTATTATTGTAGTTTATGAGTATGAGGATTCACTAGCTCGTTTAGCTCGTTATTATTTTAAACTAACTTTCCAAGTTTAATTATCTGATTAAAGGATGAGCGAAAGAAAGAAAAATGTTTATAGAAATCGTGAACAACCAGTAACGAAATAATTTTAATTGTACTGTTTTAATTTAACTTGATTAGTAGCGCTTGCATCTATTAAATTGAAGATTAATATAGAAATTTTAATTCACACCGTCCGACTGTATGTGCCCACCTTGGTTAATTCCAAAAGCCCCGAGATGGGTCATGGCAAAAGTGGTATCAGAGCACAAGATTTAAGATTAATTAATGAAATATTGATGAAAGAGCCAATATGATAACTATAAAAAAAATTTAATAATTAAATTTAACTTAGATTAATAATTATATCAATTTATGCATACACTCAAAATTATAGAAGAAGAGAATCTGATAGAAAATAAATACAATTTACTGTAAATGTGAACGCGAATGTCCTCACCCAAATGATGGCGGCAATGACTCAACTGATTCGGAAGTCCAGATTGCAGTCTAATGGAAGTGATATTGTCGTTTGAGATAAGTACTTGAAGATATTTCAAGATTTGTCCACCTTTATTCAAGGGAACTGAAGACCCGATTGAAGTGAAGAACTGGCTAATGAAGATAGAAAAGATACTAGATAGCATGGTTTGTCTGGATGAAAGAAGAGTACCATTGGCGACGTGTGCTCGATGGAGAAGCCAAAAGATGGTGGCATGAGCAATGTCAAGACAAGTTAGAGGACATACCCAACATGATGGTTAGTTGGGAAAATCCGTGGAGCTATTCAAAGAAGGGTTTGTACCCATATCCGCTCGACCACAGAGGCAGAACGAGTTCATCAAGTTGAGGCGAGAAGAGAAAACAATTATGCGGTATGAAGTAAAATTCACAAAACTATCGAGGTATGCGCCACAGTGATCGCTACTGAAGAAGAACAATGTTATAGATTTCTTTCGAGGTTAAAGATTCTATCAAACAGCCGTTAGTACCTTTAGGATTCGATGAATCCTCGGTATTAGTGAAACGAGTTAGAGGAGTAGAGATAGACTATCAGCTCACTCAGAAATATAAGAACATGCACAAGAAGAAGATTGTAGAAGAGCATGTAGATCACTCAGAAGGATCCGATGAGAAGTCCAAGAATAATTCTGGTGGAGTTAGTGGGGGTACGACTCAGAAAGCAAAAGATAGATTAATAATTATAGAAGAGCATAAAGAAGAGCATGTAGAAGAGCAAAGTACTGGAGCAACTTATGCCAAAAGCGAAAGACAACAAAAAGACGAATGTTTAATGGGCTCTAAAACTTGCAATTGGTGACGTCGGTCGGGTCACATAGCAAGATATTGTCCATCTCTTGACCAGAAAAGCATTGAAGATCAGTAATCCAGTGGAGCTCCTGCAGAGAAGTCTGCACGCGGGCAAAAAAGATAGAATCTATAGCTTCATCTCCGACCTAAGGTAAACCAGGACAATCTGTTCGACGTCAAGTACATTCTCTTACTCATAATGAGCCCGAAGAGCTTACTACTGCTGATGGTGTCAGACATTTTCTAGCACATTTTTGTGCTTCAATAACTGTGTTATGAAACATAGTTGAGTTGTCTTGTATCGAGTCTTTACCTTTATAGTGATTACTTATCATATTAATGAATGAACTTTACTTTTTCTTGGATAA